TTCCACAACTTCCATCCAAAACTTAATTACTTATCATTTTAAGAAGAAAGATAAAGAAAACTACTCAGAATCCATGGAGAAAACAAAACCACACTTTAGTTTAAAAGAAGAAATCATTGTCAAACCAACAACAAGTCTCAATTAAAACTAAAAGTAGTCTAAAAATAAAAAGATAAAAACTTTTCTCAAGTCCTGCACCAAACTCTTGAAGTTCTTTTGAATCTTTTTTCTTTTACAATCACTCAAAATAAAATAATAAAAAGGATAAAGTAAATAAAAAGTGGTTCCTGAAAATCTCTCTGAACTAACTTCCCATAAAAGAACTTTCAAAACTTACCAATATTTTCAGAACTCACAAATTTTCGAAACTTTTTAGGACGCTTTTGTAAGTCCTCACTTCTTTCTTTTATAGTTTTCCAAGAGGTACCTTGTGATCTCTTCAAAATGTGGCTTGATTCGATGTATTTGCCCAAGAGACACATCCTTTCATGATAATTTTCATCTATGGTGGTTACAACCACCTATTAAGCCAATGGGTGCCTCAAAAACCTCTTTGAAATTCATGAAAACCGATTTTACTCATCTAATAACTGCCATTGGTGCTTAAGCGCGGAGTCTTGGCACTTTGACGCGGCCTTCTCTATTTAACGGACGCTTAAGCGTCGGATCTGACGCTTAGGCACCAAAACTTTTTTGCACAATTTTTCATCTTTTTGTTCCAAATTTGATCCTTTTTCACTCATTTAAGCATTTTTTCTATTTTTACTTGTATCTACAAGAAAAACACAAAAAATACCATCCATTAAAGTGTAATATCTCAAAAATAGGTATAAAAATGTGTCTAAAAACACTATATATTTTAGGTGTATCACCTACTCCCTTGCAGAAGTGGAGAGTTCTCCTGTAATCTCAGTTCCTCCTTTTGAGGAAACTCGTCATCTGGTAATCTTTCTGAGATTTGCGCCTTAACTGCTTTCCAAGCTTTCTGACTACAATTCTTTCTCTGTGATCGATTCAGTGGTACAGACTTTGAACTTGATCCAATTTCAAACACTGATGGCGAGATAGTGAACTCCTCAGTTTCATCTTCTACGATCATAATCTCCTTTCCTTTAGCGGAAAAAGGGAACAACAGATTCGACAAGTGTCGGAGGAGTAGCAGTTTTCACCTTCTTGCAAGAAGGAAAATCCTTAGGACAGGTCAGGTCAAATTCAGTAGAGGGCCTGAACCTCCAGAGCGGTGACTTTCATTACGACGAATAAGGCCTTTCCGAGTACTACTTCAAGTTTGTCAAATCCGACTCCAAACTTGATGGTAGGAGGGACATTGCGAGCGTCGCGGCTAGTTGGCAAATTGTAGGAAAAGGTAAGCATTGAGGACACCATTGCAATAGCTTCAAGAAGAAAGCTCTGGGGTTAATTATTTGGCCAATCCCTTGTATTTCTAGTTCGATGCCGCTCCATAGACTGAGCAAATTTTGTTTTATTATTTTTAGTTTGCAAAGGCTTTAAATTTAGTAAAAATAATTTGAAAATAGAAGGACCTACTAAATTAAATAAGAAAGGTTAAAGAACAAGCGCAACACAACACTGTTTGATTTAATTTGCAACAGAGCAAACCAGGCTTAAAGGGGAAAGTGAAGTTTAGGACCCAGTGCGGGACTGACTTCACAACACACAATGCCCGGGCGGAGATATTCCACCAACACACCTATTGGAGGTCCAACCCCACACAAAGATTAAAAAGTCCTTAATGGCCTCCTGAACCTTATTGTTCAAAGGTGACTGAACAGACGGTCCTGAAGTCCAAAAGAGTTGACCGTACTTACCCACGAAAGAAATAGGTGCCAATGGAAGAAGGGAAAATTTCGTTCATGAGGGACATAAACATATTACTGATATATGAAGATATTATTCCCTGATTTGTATGGAGAGAGAAGCAGTTCCCAAGCGGAGTCGCCAAAAGTTGTCGGCACTAAAAGTTGAGGAGTTGTTAAGTTGTCGGCTGGGATGAATATCCTCACACCCATTTTAATTTAATACATATATAATTTAGAAAAATAGTATTTTAAATTTTTAAAAATACAAGACCAAACCGATCTCATATCCCCAGTAATTTAAATAAACGAGCCTAATACCGCAAATAGTGCACCCATCCTTAGGGATATGCACATTACTTACTGGTGAAGGCTCGATTAAATAAACTAAAGATTGTAATACATTTGATTAAGTCTGTGAAACCATTTTATGTTGACCAACAAATTCCCCTATTTAATACGAAGAATTAAATAGGGTTTATATTAAGCTGGGTTTAGAAAAGCTTTCTATAAAGGCAAACCCTTGTAGTTAATTACATCCTAAATAACCGATGTCACCTAAGAAAACTCTCGATAAAAAATCAGAGGATATTGTCTTCATAGATGTCAAAGGGTTTGGACTTTTCAACGAGATCGGATAAAGAGATGTGAAAGGAGAATGACTCAAGTTTGGAACATTTTACTTTGGAATCAAAATGTGCATAATTAGGATATGATCTTGAGGATATGGTGGGGAGTTCAAAAAATTGATGCACATTCAATTCTCTCAGTCTTCTCCAGACCTCTTCAAAAACACTAGGCTGAACCATCTCTAGCACATCTTTAACTGTCGAAGGATGTCATTTGTAATTCATTTCCTTCTTGTTCATCAACCTAGATGAGTAAGAAAGAATTTATTAAAACTAACAACATAAAAATTTTCAAAACACTCCTTCAGATAACCTTCCTCAATAACTGTTCAATAACCCTAACATAACTCAAATAACCATAGATTAAATCCCAGAACAAACCAAAAGTAACGCAGAAATAAACCAATAATAAGACTACAACAACCAAGTAAAATCCCCACCGATAAGCTTACAATAACCTACGAATAACCTAAAATATGCACAATCACAAACTTTCAATTAACCCAACACTAGTCAGAGAATAATTTCAATGAAACCCCTAAGCCAAAACAAACAGCAAAATAACCCCACAATAATCCAAGAATAAATTAATAATAAACTCCTCAATAAACCCTGGCTAACTAAATATTATCTCAATAATAATTCTCACAAAATTAGGCTCTAATGCGACATTAACTCAAACATAACAAATAATAACCCAATAATGTCTCACAAAAAGCTCAAGAATAATTCAAATTAACTCGTAAAAAGAAGAAAAAGCCACAACTACATTAGCTGAATAGTAGCCCATGAATAACCCATAATTAAACCATAAATAACCGAATAATTAACCAATAATAGCTGCCAAAAATAACCTACATAGAACTAAAGAAAAACTTAGCAATGAACCCTCAAACATAACCAAGAATAACCCAAGTATGTACTAGAACAACGAACCAAAAATAATCCAGATTAACTCGTAAATAGAACAAAAAACCATAGCTACATTAACCCATCAATAACCCAAGAATAACCCATAAATAATCAAAAAATTAACCATTAATAACTGCTAAAAATAACCTCAATATAATCTGAGAATAACCTAGAAATGAACCACCAAGCATGAACAATTGCAGATTAACTCATAAATAGAACAAAAACCCACAGCTACGTTAACTCATAAATAACCCAAGAATAACCCATAAATAACCCAACATTTTGCCAATAATTGTTGCCAAAAATAACCTAAATATAACCAAAATATAAACTAGCAATGAACTCTCAGTCATAAACCATGAATAATTCGTAAAAAAACCTAAAAATACGCCAACAATAACCCAACTATGAACATAAACTACCTGCCAAACTAAACTGAATTAAAAAATTTAACTGGAATAGAACGATCACATATATCAGGACAACTTCTCTGCTTCATTCCCCTCTATATTCGACCTCTTCACATCCTTTTTTTTTCCTTTCTTTCTTCAACTTCTTTTTCGGCTGTTCCTGGTCACCTTTGTTGGCATCCTCGAACTCCGACCTTATGAGCTCTTCCAATTGCATATTCTTCGGATCATCGAACTCCATTTTCTCCCTCTTCTTCCAGCTGCATATTCTTGGTGTACTCCAACTCCACTCTCATACTGCATCCGCACTAACTTTCTAACTCTTACAGCTCCGACACTAACCTTCCGACGCTAGAACAACCACAAAATCCTAGCAGATTGACAATTAGAGCACGTTAAATCGGTCTCACGGAAGCCAAAATGGTTCTCGACAACAGTATTTCAAGATGTGAGATACTCCAAAAATCGGATTAGTCGAACGGGCCGTTAAAATCTCAGCATTAAATTTTTGGTTTTTTTAATTACTTAGAGTGTGGGAGCTATCATTACACGTAGGATAAATTCTTTCGAGTCTAGAGTGAAAGTTTTCGCCTTCCATTGGCATGGTTCCTGACTTCATTTATGTGTATTTTTGTACTGTAGTTTGTTAAATTTCCTAAAATTTATGCTGAGATATTTCTGTAATACAGAAATCAATTTAGTAAACATTCTAAAAAGGTTAAACGAGTGTAAACCAATTACGGGCGAACAAGATCAAATCCTCTTATTATCATATAACTATGGTATCATATCAAGTTCTCAACAGGCCCGCGTTCATGGACAAAGGTGGGCGGTACGGGCCGTTAAACTACGGCAGGGCTGCATCCCTAAGAGCAACTTAAGCCGTTCATTATTTAATCAACGGAGGACAAAATTTGAAGTCATTAAAAGTGTTGATTTTATCGAGCGCTAAGCTATGAGAGAGAGAGACAGAGAGAGAGGTTACAGGCTATAGGTAGAGAAGAGTAGTATAAAAATGACTTCCGATGGGGGCTTGAAGCGGAGAGCGCGAAGCGGAGAGCGCGAATCTTGCCATCCCTATGATCAAGCTTCCATTGATTTTTTACTACTTCTGGAAGAAGATTGGAGAGATGATACTTTGTTGATTTAAATTCTTCGAAGAGCCAAGGGTTTTTTCGGAGACGAAAGATTGTCCTCTCCACCTTTCATTTTTTTCTCACTGATTTCACCAAATTTAACAATATTTGAACCTAGGCGATTTGAACTGCCGCAGATTTTGGGACTAGAGGTTAGCATTCTTCCGTTGATGTAAACTTTTCGGTTTCATCGAAATGGACTGTTTTTTTTTTTTACCTCTCTTTTCTTTTTTTCGGTTTGTAAATCTTGTCTTGTTTTCAGATGTTTGAGATTTTTCAAAAACAGGATGAAATCAATCGAAATCTTTTTCTGTATTTTTTTTTTGTGGATGTGTTTGTAGGCTTAGAATTTTAGTGGAAGAAAACGAAAACGTTTTGAAAAGCTTAACTTGATTGTTGCAGTCATAATATCCATAAGGGGCTTTATGGCAACGGATTCGAGTTAATTTAGTAGGATTTAGTAAGTCCTGTAAATGTTTTGAACTTCATTTTTTCCCACACTCTCCTCCAATCCAACAGATCAACGTCTTCTGATTTTCAGTTTTTTTTTTCGCTTTCAACATATCGTTTCAATTTCTGAGGTCTTAAGTTCCACCCGAAAAATCTCATGCTTTTCGCTGTTCAGCTCTTAAAACTTGTGGAGAGTGAGTTTGGATCAGTGAAGACTTCAACATAAAAAGGCACCATTTGTTGCTTCGCCGATTTGTTCGATTTTCTGCGTTGTTTTGTCAAGGTTTTCTGTTTCAAGTTCTGGAATCGTAGTCCGTCATTGGATTTGAGGGGGGATTGGAGGATCTTTGTGAAGTTTCATGCAATAGAAGAACCGATCGATGTAAATATCGAAGTTATTAGAATCAGAACCAAACCTGATTGCTGGGCTTTCAAACTTCTCTAATACGGAATGTTTCTTCTTCCTCCTCTGTTTCATCCATTGCACTGAAATTTTATCAAGATAAATTTCATTGTTCCATTGATTCCGATTAATCCGTTTTTTTCTCCCTCGTTATCTAGCATAAGTTAGATTTCCATATTTTCGCATATTTTCCTGCTTAAGGCAAATCTCATTCATTTCCTTCCACCTCCTTCAGTGTCTGCTTTGTTCTTCCTCAAATTAATCGGATCGGCAGAATCGAGTTAATTTATTTATTTTTACGTACTTGTTTTTGTTCACGGCGAACTATTTAATTTGTTCAACGATTGAAATCCACAGTCCATTCATATCATTTCATAAATTTTTTAACTTCGCCGATCTCCAATAAGTCTTCGTTTTCCCAAATCATAAGAAACAGAGTTGTTATCTTTCCCGCTCGTCTTCTCCCTCTCTTGCCTATTCTACCATTTAGAAAATGAGAAGCCCGGATCTTGATCTCACATTCCATTTCGAAATGATAATTATCTTCAGATCATAAGAATCGTGCAATCTCCAACTACAAATTTTGCTTTTATTACTTTGATCATCTCTGCTGTAAATTTTACGTTCAGCTCGACCTCTAAAAAACAATTTTTTTTTTTTTCGTTTCCGTTTTTCTCATCCTCTTCTTCTCGAACAACGCCGCTTGCTTACAACAGGTGTCTAGTACACATGCGAGAGCGGATGGACCGGTACCACTACCACAAGCGCGGGGGAGGCGGAGCGGGCGGTAAGAATACCGGTCGTGTACCATCTCCTCCTGAAAGGCCAAAGTTGCTTCTAGGTTGGGGAAAGCGAAAGAGGCTCAGGGGCGTGAAGTTCTCCCGGAAGAAAAACACCGTCACCGTCGCCGTCGCCGTCGCCGTCTCCGCCGTGGTGGCGGAAAAGAGTATAGCGGCTCCTAGGGCCCGCCGAGCCGGCCAATCCGACAAGGAGCAAGCCGCCCATGGACCGCGCTTAAATTCATTGAGGTTATTACTTCTCCTATCGTCCTTCCCTTTATTTTATTGATGCATTATGTCTCAAGTATTCCTCAATATTCCTCAGTTGTGATAAATACAGGGCTCTTTGAAAAAGTAAAATTTTATTTATTTATTTTTTTCCTCTTTTTGGCAGCTGGATGCATTTGGCTGCTTTTCAAAGAAGAAGACAAAATATTTTTATTCTTGAAGAGTTGAAATTTTCACTTTTATGATATGTTTTTTATGAATTAATGGGAATAAATTTTATAATTTTTAGAAATATTTTCCACTTTCAAAGCAATTAAATAAATTCGTAGGGGTCATTTAGTTTTCTTAAATAAAATATATATTTAATAAAATTATAATTTTTATTCATTCATTTTATGGGTGAATTTTATGCTACCTGTTTACATGAAGGGTCGAGGAATTTTATGGTTTTTCATTGTTTAAAAATAGTTTTAGTTATTTATTAAATTAGTAAATGAAAATATAATAAATCTATCCGTTAATTTTCTTAGTAGCAATGTTTCTAATATTACTGCAAATGAAATATTTAGACTTTTTTAACAGTTCTAACCTTTTTGGATCCTAGCAGAGTACTAAAATATGCTCAATTTGGAATCATCTGCCAATTATAACAAAACTCAACTTATTGCCATATAAATCTTAAGATGCCTTCTCCCTAAGATTGGTTTAGGATATGAGTTTTGCCTATTTCATGGTCCACTGGTTGATGGCTTTTCCATTAGAGAGATATTAGAGGGCATTGTTTATTTCATCTTCAATATTTCTACAAGGATTAGCTCTTATATAATGTGAAAATAGAGTTCTCTTAAGTGATTGCCAGGAAAGCTCTTTATACTAACATCTCTAATGTATATTGGACAAATTTTGTTTGATTCAAATGTCTTGGTTGCTTGGTTTCTTTTTAGTGAAGACATGTTTAATGTGATATCTAATTTTATTGTATTCTTTCGTGTGTCCCATTCTTACTCTTTTTTTTCTCTTTAAATCTATTGAAATCTGCTCTTACAAATAAAAAAAGAAAAAGAAAAAAGAAAAAAAGAAACACATGCGGAACCATGGTTAGACTGGTTCGAGTCCTCCATCAGTTATGGCGGGCTTAAGATTTTATTAGGGGCTATGGAAAGCAGTCGTGCCCCTGTATGTTATCAAATCAGAAATTTGAGTGATTATAAATTTTGTAATGGAAGATTTACATAGATAACACGTAATTCTTATGTATTTTCATATCTAACTTACATACAATATAAGCCATCCTGCCTATGGATGAAAAGGTACATTTTACTCTTTAAAAGTTAAGAAAATGATAATTTTGATGTGTGTTGAAATATTTGGGTGGTATAATTGTAAAAAGTAGAGTTTAGGTGTTAGATATGTAAACACATAGGAATTGGATGGTATGCATGTAAATGCCCCATTTTTTATAAGAATAATATTCTGATAAGATTGATATCTATACACAGACAACCCTTTTATCGAGAGAAAATAGAAATTAGTGAAACTGGTCGTTTGATCTGCCTACGTTGTTAAAAAAAAATATTAATATTGTCGTAGTTTTGAAAAGCTACATAAAAGAATACATCAAAAACAAAATTAAGAGTAATGTCAGCATTTCCCTTTGATTAAAGATAAAGAGGGAGTTCATTGTGGACAACTTTGACCAGAATCCCCAATCCTCTCTTAGGAAAACTCGACATAAGCTTAGCTTATAGTTTTCTCCTTGTTTTGATTTTAGGTTTCGTTTTGTTTTGATTTCGCAGGAATTTGGATGAAAATGGGGGGACCAGAGGGGGAGGGGGTCAAGAAAGGTCATCACCGCCTGAGGCAGTGAATGGTGGAGGGGGGCCACGGGGTTCATCTGAGAAGGGTGGATCATCGTCTGGAAGCGATGGGGCAGAATGGCCAAGGATTGAAATTGCTTTGACAATGCAGGAGAAGGAAGAGGATTTCTTGGTCTTCAAGGGGACCAAGCCTTCCCTCCGTCCCAAGAAGCGGGCCAAGCCCATCCAGAAGAATGTTAATGTAAGTGTGATGCCTTTTTTTGCTTCTTTTTCATTTTGCCTGATTTGGTTTAGTTTACTAACCATTTTGATTTATTTTATTTTTCTTTTTCTTTTGAAATGTTTTTTTTTTCTATTTCATTCTTTTTAGACTTCATGTGTTTCTTGTTAAGATTTGGAGATTTATGGGTGATACAATTGTTTGGTTAATAATAATATTTTTAATAAAATCTTGAAGAATAAAAGGATGTCAAATGATTGGAAAAGAAATGTATGTGTGTTGGATTTTAACAATTAAAGAGGTTCAATTGGTAGTTTTGGAGGAGTCCACAAGTTATAAGTCATACAATCAAGTGGTGGGAGAGACTAATGGCAAATAAAATTAGAAAAATTATTGTATCGGAGAATTAAATTGATTTTATAATAGAAGACAGATGACAAAGCGGATTTTTATGTGAATTTTATTGATCCTATGAAGATGTGTATATTATACTGCGATAATTGACTTAATGTGCGTTAAGTAACACAATGTCCATATAGAAGTTATGCTTAAGTTATTAAAAATACATATGATTAACCATGACTAGTTATCAATATCAAAAGTAGTTATAGAGTGATAAAAATATTTCAAATTATTACATGATTGCAATAATGATCAGCATTGAGTCCATTTTTTTTTGTATTAATGATTAATATGCTTCGTATGCTTTTTCTAAGGGATTTTTTAAATGAAAGAGGGCTTTGTTTAAGTGAATTTTGTAATAATAGAGAGTATTTGAAATATAAATAGCCTAGACATAACAGAATTATTGCTCCAATATCACATTATAGAACTGAGTTACGTATTGATAAATGGTCAACTATTTAATTGCTTTCTTTCGGGACATATTATTGTGTACTTGCCTTTTTATCTTCTATCTTGATGTTCTGGCTTTTGAAATTTGTGTATTATTAATTTTTGTTGTTCAACTGTAACTTGCTCCTCAATTTCTTTGTACCTGCTTCCTTTCAAAGAAAGTTCTGTTAGAGAAAAAATATGGGATCTTTCAGTTACATTCAATGTAAATATATATGTCTGGATAAGTATTTTGATCACCTTAAGATGACATACATTCAATATATATATATATATATCATATTAAGAAAAGCTCCACAGTACCTTTTGTCTGCCTCCTTGCTTTTTGACTTCCCTCCACCTCCCTATTCCTCAAATTTGCTCCATCTCCCTACATGGGATTGGGTTGCTTTGCCTCCTTCAGCTCAGTTTGACCCGGTTCTTGTTTGCTGCACTCTTTGTGATGCTTCATTTCTCCATTTGTGTGCATTACTCGTTTTTTGTTTGCCTCCTTGTTTTTTGATTTCCTCCACTTCCCCGTTCCTCAAATTTGCTCTATCTTTCTTCAATTGATTGGGTTGCTTTGCTTACTTTCTATAGCTCAGTTTGACTCCCTGGTTCTTGTTTGATGCACTCTTTGTGATGCGTCATTTTTCCAATAACCTATATTCTAGGATGATATACTTTCAAAAGAATTTGTTGAAGTGATGATTTTTTTTCAAGTAAATATCACCTGCAATATCCTTTAAATAGTGTTAATATTTCTTAAAAGATGTAGAGTATTGCAAGATCATTTGAAATAAGAAATGACTTGCCATTAATTGTGTATACTTCCATTAATTTTCCCATATATGTCACTGGTACTTACATTTCGAAGCCAATGGTTGTGTTGTCTAAAAAATTTTGAAGTCAGAGTCCCCATACATGTTCTCATCCATTGTATTTGCTGGCTATCTGAACTACAGATTGAATTTCATTTGTCATTACTGCGGTGTTGTAATTTGACAACAGTTATACATATAAGTCGAGAAAATGTATTGCCCGAATGAAGTCAAAATTTAACATTTGCATTACATACAACAATACATGGATTTTGTGCTAAAGAATTGGTCAATATTTGAGAGTTATGACCGGTCATTTTTTTTAATTTCTCTTAATGACAGATATACATGTGGTGATACATGAATTTATATATATTATCTTTTGAGCATCTAACTCGTGTATATCTGGTTAGAAGTTTTGTTGATTTATTCTCAATGTAGATGAAATGTTTCTTTTTTGCAAATATAAAGGAACACTACTAATTGTAATTGATATTGATGGAATAATGGTATCTTTTCTCTTATTTTTACTGTGATTGAGTCTGAAAGTATTGATTTATGATTGTGATTTTTATAACAATTTCATGACTAAGTGGAGCTTATTTGGGTACCAAAGACATGCATAATATTAGATAGGTAGTCGGTATTAATTCGTGAGTCTAAAGGTCGTAGTGCTTTTTTAAAGCTCTTTTGTTGGTGTTGTAAGTAATGTTTGTGAGTAGCATATGGAATACTCTCGAACTTTCATCGAGTGTATACCTAATATTATAATAATTTTTTGTGATCTTTAACGACTCTCCATGTCGTGAATTTTTGGTTGAAATTACAATTATAAGTCATTACTTTTAGCGTCAAAAATTGCAAAGGTAAGTTAAAAGAGACTGTCATTTTATAAATATTGACAACAGACATTTGGAAGTGCTCTCTTATTTTTGCCAAGAAGGAATATGTCATCCATATTGGGGACTGATCCACAGAGCCTCCAAACAAATATGCTTGTTGGGTAAAATGATAAAAAATACTTTGAAAATAAGTCTTGTTGCTGACTTGTACTCTATATATAGATTCAACATATGGGGCATTGTACAATGATCATATAAACGAATTATGATGGGTAATTTGGAGTTGGAATTGCAATTAGATATGTTTTATTTGTTTTCCATGTTGTTTATGATTTTGTAATGGTAAATACATGCTGGAACAAGCAATAAAAGCATTTACTACTTTAAAAACTGATCCTTTAAATCACAGCTATATATTTTTTTTCTTTTACTTAGAAGGAAGAAATTATCCTTACAAAAGACTGTTAAGGTAATTTCAAAAGAAAGTTTGACGGCCAAAAAATATTGCAAATCAACAAAATAGATTGACCGCCTAGGATAAAATGGTGAAATTTGAGAAGTTATTAATCTTAAAGCTAGATTGCTAAAAGAAAGAAATTGATTTTTTTAATCCAAACTAATGTGGGATAAAGTGCTTACTCGCATTAAAAAGATTTTCCTTGAAATTATAAGACAGTCTTAGAAAACATCATATCTTTACAAGGAGATTTGATTGTGGAATTAGGAGAAACAAAATACTATTAAAAAGAAATTTTATTTGAAAGTGACCAAAAATAATTAATACTTAGGATATAACAAACTAGTAACTATGCGAAGTTGGAATTGAGCAAGAACAAAAAAACTATAACTTTTTCTTTGTTTTAGAGAAAATATTTAGTATTTTTGAGGAAGATATTAATTTGAAAGAACATAATGAATAAAATGATGAGATGCATTGTTTATTGATCTAAAACGTTATGTGGAATCAACTTAAAAAAGTACAAACACATAAAACTTTAGACTTCATGGGTTTCTTGTTAAAATTTGGAGATTTATGGGTGATGCAATTGTTTGGTTAATAATAATATTTTTAATAAAATCTTGAAGAATAAATGGATGTCAAATGATTGGAAAAGAAATATATGTGTTGGACTTTAACAATTAAAGAGGTGCAATTGGTAGTTTTGAAGTATTACAAGTTTTAAGTCATACAATCAAGTGGTGGGAGATACTAATGTTATATAAAATTAGAAAATTTATCTTGTACTGGATAATTAAAATGATTTTATAATAGATGGCAGAGCGGATTTTTGTAGGATTTTTATTGATCCTATGAAAATGTATGCGTTATACCGTAATTGATTTATTGTGCGTTAAGGAACACAATGTCTATATAAAGGTTATGCTGAAGTTATTAAAAATACATATGATTAACCATTGACTTGTTATCAATATTAAAGGTAGTTATAGAGTGATAAAAATATGCAAATTATTACATGATTGCAATAGATAGCATATATTTAGATTTAGCTCAAGCTAAATGCATTTGAAGTGAAGATAATTATACCTTAATTAAAGATGAAGCTATCAGTGAAAGTTGAAATTGTTTAATTGAGAAAATATTTAGTATTTTTGAGGAAGATATTAATTTGAAAGAACATAATGAATAAAATGATGATATACATTGTTGATTGATCTAAAACGCTATGTGGAATCAACTTTCTTATTTGTGGTGATCTTGCATTAAATTAAATTATTTTAGGATAAAAAACCATTTAATGCATAATGTATGAAAAAGAAAATCCTTTCAATATGTTATAGAATTTTATCATCTTAAGATTAGTAAATAGACAGATGAAGTATAACATGCATTAATCACATCCCACTCTTTTGTGGTCACATCAGCATTTGGTAATTTGCGTTGGCATAAAACACAGTGAAACTAATCTCTTGCATATTAAAATTATCGTCATCCTCTTCGTGCCTTGAATTTTGCTAATACCATTATCCATAATTTAATATATTTTTATATTAACATCTAAGTGTATTTCAAGTGAATGTTGCCGATATATGATTCTATATTCTTACCAACATAAGATTGAAATGGGAGTGAGAGGTTGAAAGAGTGGCTAATACTACAGTTAATCATTGGTTGATGAGGGTTTCTAGAGTAATCAATACATATGCACAACTAATATTAGCGTAGGCTTATATGGTGAACTGAGCGTGACAACATTTAAGGGATTTTGAGAAGAACCGGCAGCATAATCATCAGTGGGTTGTGCTTCAACCTTACATGCGTCTGCATCGTTATTTCCAATAATATAAATTCACATAGTTTATCGTCATCAATATTTTATTATCATCAATCTGTATCCTGAAAAGATGATGCTTCTAACTTATAATTCTCCATCAAAGCATAGCTCAATCGTGATGTTTCATTACTAATGTTGCACTTTAAACCTTGAAGCTTGCACCCAATTGTGTATTCACATTTACACTGTGATTTAATTTAAATAAATATAATTAATGGTGCGGTCATCATAAGTTCTTTTTGCCATTGCGGATCTTCAAAGTAAACCAACATATTTTTTATATATTTAGAATTGAGTGAACTAGTACTTATTTTTATCTATTTGGAGTTTCAACTCAATTAAAAGTATGTTTTACTCTTACATATCAAATTTGATGTTACAGGTGGAATTAAAACATGAATTCATAGGCGTTGAAAAATGTAATTTAATATAATAAGTTGACATTTCAAAATTTTAAAATTATATTTATATATTATTTACTTGCGTAGATATGATAAATTTTAAAAAATGATAAGCAAAAATAACAGTAATATTAAAATACTGCTGAATAAAAATCATACTTATTAAATTACTATGATTATCTTAAATTTTAGTGGAAGTGAGACGAATGATTATCTTAAATTTATTGAAAGAGACGAGACAGAGAGTATTAGAGAACTAGTAAAACAAACTGAGGTGAAGCGGGGAGGCAAAGCAATCCAAACTGAATTAGGGAGGCAGTGTATTTGAGGAGCAGAGAGAAAGAGCGAAGTCAGAACAAATTTGATGAGCAGGGAGGCGCAGGTGAGTCGATGAGAAAGGAGGTAGACGGGAAGCTGAGCATATAATAGAGATGTAGAGATAACTTTGGGAGAGAGCAGTGAAATAGAGGGATGTGGGGGAACGGGTGGGAAGGGAAAGCGAAACCAATTCATGCAAAATTTTGGTTTGAAGGAATGTTGATAGAGGGTTCAATTCGGGCATTTTCTAGAAAATTTATACATATTGGGAGTTCTTGCTCTTTTTAAAATTATTTTCATTGCGGCATTCTGATTGCTTAAACTTAAATCATGCAAGTTCCTTCTTAAAAATTCCAATTTCTTACATAATACATAATACATCCTTATATTTATGTATACTTAATAAAAATTATTTTTTTTGGTCAACTCAATGTTGAATCAGTTTGACTTGAGTCAATCTGATTCAAAATGATTTCAATTTTGAGTCAATTTTGAGCTAAGTATTTATTTTCATATTTTAGTTAAGTTTCAATTGAGCACTTATTTTTTATTTCGAATTTACGTTCTTCAAGTCTAGCTGATAAGTCTACTCCATATTATACGAACCTCCAAATTTGAATTGAGAAACCTAAAAGAAAGATTGTTTTTATTACTCTATTTTATGCACGCACTTCAAGATTGAGCCCATTTGCTAGCTCGTTAGGATCATATTGCTTTGAACTTGAGATTGTCACATGGATTGAATTGATAAAAGGCGTTTCACAATATAAGCTTGTCATGTAATCCCATGTAGCATCGATCGTTATTTAAATCTATTTTGTCCTAATTTTACTCGTCATCCTTGCTATAATATTTAAGTCCTCCGATACCTTCAACCTTACATATTATTTTGGGAATTGAATATGTAGGTTTTATTTATTTATTTATTTATATTTACATTTCTCTCTCCCTCTCAACTCAGTATTATGAAAAGAATTATATTCCATTTTTTATTCTCCTTCTCATTTATAGGTTGAGTATTTTACGCTTCTAAAACTTCAAAGGGCTCAATAACATGCCATGAAATCATGCCCAATTGACACCTAGTTATATCTATCACTGAAATTGCACTTGCCATAGTTTCCTTGTCTCTGAAGCAGCCATTTCACCCTGGATATAGTAAGCTATGAGTACACATTTGGATAAAATTATGCAAGGAAAACTAGATCCATTTAATCACTTGAAGTCCGCACGTCATCTCATCCCATTATTTGTTCTTTAACTTTCCTTGTAGCCTTGAAACCAACCTCTTTCTGTTCCAAAAAAAATGTGATGCTCCAATATGAATGCTAAATACTCAGTTTCATTTGTGAAGACTTCTACCAAGAATAGTTAAAATGCAAAAAAGAATCTTGTTTCTGTAAAATGAAAATTATCAGACTTTCCAATCTTAAAAGATCTTCATTATTTGAGGTGAAATTCACCGCCCTAATATCTATATGCATGCATTTAGGAAGTCATATGCTGAACAGTTCAGAGTGTTGTCTCAAACAATTTGGTAGTCTTCAAATCCATTAGTTGTTGATAGGGGGAAAATATATAGAAAAACCTAATGATTCCTTATTATAAAGTACATGTGGTGTGTGGCTTATGTAAATGGTTATTGACTGATTTAGTCTAGCCTCAAGTGATTACTGAAAGTTGAGGAAAGTTCCCAATTTAGCTAAAAGCACAGTTGACAAACTTGGAGAAAAGCTGGCAGAGTAGCTCCTGAGCTTTGAGCGAGTACGCCAGAAACAAACACAATCATGACTTTCACCATGATTCTAGCGAGTTCATCACGTATCAAATACAGTGAGTCTATCTTAAGTCTGGCGAGTTCAACTTGGTTTTGAAATAATGGGATACATGGATTACGGAATGTCTTGATATTAGTACTTACATCATGTTCTTTATGTGGATTGGATGAATTTTCAGGACTTTTAACTATTGGTCTGATTTGTATGACAGCTGATGAGCCCAGGTACGTGGCTGTGTGATCTGTCCCTGGAAAGATACGAAGTCCGAGAGAAAAAAACCTCCAAAAAGGTGGGCACCTAAACCTTAATTAAATTTAGAAATATCGGATTATATATATATATATATATATATATATATATATATATATATATATATATATATATC